CAAAGAACACGAAGAAGCCGGTGGGGATCGCCTGGTGAGTGGCTGGGACGGCAGGAGAGGCTCAATACTGGGGGGGCTCTGCTGCTTTGCAGGGCCTGGGGTGGGATGGGGGTCCCGGGTAGGCTGCTGCGCTGAGTGGGGAAGGGGGGAAGGGTGTGCCCCCCAGGGCAGCACAGGGCTCTTTTTTCCCTGCTGGCTCTCTCCATCTTCTGCCCACTGGCTGTCCTGCAGGGCTATTGGGTTGCCCTCTGGCATCATCCTCTTCCTCCTGGCTAAACGTGAAGTGGACAAAAACCGCCTGGAGCAACTCAAAATCCGCCGTAAGATGATGGAAGCCAACCAAGGCGAGTACGAGACGGAGCGATACAAAAGGGTGGCCAGGGGGGCATAACCGGGCTGCCCTCTGCCCCCGTGGCACCCCAAATGGACTGGCCGAGGGTTCACCAGCCCTATGGCACCCCAAATGGACTGACCAAGGGGTCACGGGTCCCATGGGACACACAGTACTGGTGCCTGCCCTCCCTGGCAAATAAACCTGGTCCCTGGTGAGTGGAACAGCTCAGTGTTTCTGTGGTTATTCCCTCAGTGCCCAGCCCCAGGCTCTGCCTGCCCCCACAGCAGCTCTGCAGCAGAGATCCTGCCCACAAGTGGGGTGTGGGTACAGGCAGGAGGAGGAGGTCAGACCTGGAGCAGCTCGACCTTGGCTTTCCCACTGCACAGCAGGGTTTGTGCTGCCCTCGGCCGCAGCCCCCGCTGAGGATGCCCACAGGTTGTTTGGGGGAGTCACCGCACCAGCAAGACTGGGACCATCTGGAAAACTGAAGTGTTTTATTTAGCAAGTGCAACTTTGCCCATGTCCGTGGCTGCAGGGCCTCTTCCATGTGAGCTCTGCCACAGGGGTCCCAGCTGCCCCCACCCGCACCAGGCACCACTGCAGCTCAGGGACAGGGGGCACGGCTGGAGCTGCATTTAAGGCACTGAGTGAATGATACCAACTAGTTTCTACAAAAAAAAACCTCCCAACATGATCCCAGTGGCCACGGCCAGCTCCCTGTGCCCAGGCAGGACCGTAGCACTCTGCTGCCAGCACAGCACCACTGGCACAGCTTTGGTGAGTGGTGCCAAGGCTGGGCTCTGCCTGAATGCTGGCAGCCTGTCCCCCCCCCCGCCCTTGGAGGCTCGTCGGGGGGTGATCAAGGGAAGTCCTTTCCTTAGCAGCCTACGGGTAGGGATGCCGAAGCATTAGGAGTCAGGGTAAGAGGCCATATCCTGTACAGAGGACAGGGTGAGGGACAGCAGGGAGAGGGGGAATAACAGGAGGGGTCCCAGGGCTAATCCCGGCCTACGATCTGCAGGATGAAGGTGAAGATGTAGATGATGTCAGTGTAGATGGTGAGGGCACCATAGACATACTCCTCAGGGCTCAGTGTGTTCTTCCTGTTCCCCAGCACAAGTTGGGTGTCGTAGGCAAGGAACTGGGGGGGCAGAGTGTGTCAGGCAGGGACCAGGGCAGGGTGTTCCCTGCCTGACACCCTCTGCCCAGCCGAGCCATCAACTCACCAGGGTGAAGGCGATGGCACCGATGGCTGCATACAGCATGTGGAGCCAGGGGACCTGCGCAGAGAAGGGGAGGCAGGCAAGATGAGCTGGGTGCTGGCAGGCAGCGGGCAAGGCATGGCAGGTCCTGCCCACACCCAAGTAACTCCCCAGGAGATGCTGCTGACACTGACGCTGACGCATCCCCTCCCTGCGGGCAAGCTGCCTCTGCCGTGGCCAGCACCACACCCAGCTTCCCAGCAAAGGGAGAACACCCAAAAACTGTACCAGCCCAACTGGGGACACCTGTGGCACACCACAGCCCCTCCGTTCTCCATACTCACATATTTGAAAGAGAGGACAATAGCGGTGACAATTCCAGTCACCATGACCACGATGCCCAGCACACAGAAGAGCCCTGGACACGATGTAAAATCAACCTGTCAGGGGGACACACATGTCACAGGAAGCCCAGGGCATCCCCACCGCCTGGCACCCCATGCATGACTCTGCCCAAGGCAGGGCATGTCCCCTCCTCACCTTGGTCTGGAAGCAGAAGATGGTGACAATGATGGCCACAATGGCAGTGATGAGCATGGCAATCAGGACCGCGTTGGTCCTGTGCATACTGTGGACAGAGGGGACACCAGAGTCACCCCACATTTTGGGATCCTCCTTCCAGGGGGGCATTGGTGACTCTCCAGAGCCCTGATCCCAGGCAAGAACCCCACCGTCCCCAAGCCCAGGGGAGCAGGGCTCTCATTTGAGGCAGCCACGTGGAAGGGGACAGGAAGGACCCTGTCCCCACGAGGTCCCTCAGGCATACCTGGCGATCGTCCCTGTCATCAGCCCCATGGCCAGCGTCTGCAGGAGAGGAGAAGGGTGGGCTCAGCAAGGCGAGCAGCACTGGAGGGTGCACATTTACCACTTCAGGGCAGTTCCTGGCTGGCCCCCGCCTGCCCACACATTCCCTTCCATTTGTCCTAGCCCACCTGGGAAGCTGGGGTGCCATAGGGACACCACCTGACCCCCCCTCCTGCCAGCCCCAGCCCACTCACAAAGATGCTCAGCAGGATGATGTTCCAGGGAAAGCGTCTCCTGGGGACAAAAAAATGAGGGAGGTGAGCTGGTGACAGGGGTGGCTCCAAAACCCCATGCAGGGATCTGAGAGGCTGTAAACCACCTTGCCCAGGAACCCCCCCATATCCACACACCCCGAGCCTGGCATCCCAGCTGCTAGTAACTCACCGGGGACCCTGGCAGCAGGCCAGCACCAAGTAGGTCACCAGGAACACGGCACTGAAGAAAGAGACAGCAGGTGTCAACACCAGGACCCTCCCTCCAGGACCCTCCATCTGGCCTGGGAGGCCACATCTGTGGGGTGCCAGCTGCCAGGGAGCAGCCAGGACAAAACAAGATGGGGAACCCTCTACTCACTATGAGGCGTAATAGATCGCAACATTCCTCTGGACAAAGGAGCGGACGGGGGAGCTATGAGACAGGAGGGAAAAGAGTTAAGAGGGGACAGGAACTGCTGTCCCCTTGGGAACCCCCATGGGGGACATGCAGCCAGGCTTGCCCCTTTTGGAGGGCAAGGCTAAGGAGGGATGTCCCACTCACACAAAGGTGAACACGGCAATGATCCCCACTGTCACCAGCAGCTGCAGGGAGATGATGGCATAGACCTGCAAGAGATGGGGGGTTCAGCACCCGGTCCCCCACCCCTGACAGGTGCCCCAGCCCCCCAGGACTTGCCTTGCGGATGAAGGTGTGCCGGACTTTCTTGTCATCCCAGTTGGCTGATTGGAAGGGGGAGCCATCACCGATGCCATCATCACCTGCAGAGGGTGACACCCCTCAGCACCAGGGCGGGCTGCGCAGCCCCCCAGAGCACCCCTGTTTCTACCATCCTAGTAAAAAAACACCCCAAGGTTTCCCCACTTACCAAATCGGATAGGCATGGTGGGCATGGCCATCCCTGGCTGGGGATACCCCCCAGCTGCTGGGTACCCCCCTGGCTGTGGGTACCCCCCTGGCTGTGGGTACCCTCCTG